CCGGGGCCCGCCTGCACGGCCAGCGAGAAGTGCTCGTCGCCGCTCAGCTCGTAGCTCTGCAGGGAGTTCCGAGGCAAATCTGGGTCGTGAGCTTCGGCCAGGGGAAACCGAGACCCCAAGGCTGTCGTCTCGCTTAGTCTCAGTTCTTTTTCGGCCTCTCTGAAGCTGGGTGCATTGTCGTTAATATCTGTGATCTCCACTTCGATTCCGTAAACCTGCATCTGTCCTTCCACTATCAGCTCACAGCGCAGCACGCATTTCTCCACCAGCCGGCACAGCTGCTCTCTGTCGATCCTTTCTGCCGTCACTAAATGTCCCGTCTTCCCGTGCACAGCGAAATACTGCGTCCTACCTTTGTTCCGGATGCGCACTCCCCGATCATTCAGTTCCAGGAGCTGCAGCCCCAGGTCCTTGGCCACGTCGCCCACGAACGAGCCCTTGAGCATCTCCTCGGGCACGGAGTAGCGGAGCTGCCCCCACGCCGCCTCCCACGCTGCCATCAGCATTCCCAATAGCAGAACTCTCTGCTGCCGCCGGCCCCAGCGCCTCCTCGCCGCGCACATCTCTGTCGCTGTAATGTCGATCCTGCTCCAATTTCCTGTCTCTCTTCGGCTTGCCCCTCACAGCCGCTGCCGCCGACCACTCCGTCTCTCCGCAGCACGGTTCCCCACCGCGGGGACGTTCGCAAGCTCTTCGCCGCCGAGACAGACTGCGGGAACGATGGAGCGGATCCGCAGCGGGCGGGGCTGCGGCGCTCCGAGCTCCTCTCGCTCCTCTCGGTCAGCAGCGGCGCCCGCAGCCTCCTCCCGGCACTGCAGGCACCGGGCGCTGCGGGAAGGAGACATTTGCCGCACACACCTCCCGCTTTTCTCCAGCCGATCTCCTCTTCTATGCTCGAACACATCACGATCGTGAGGAAAGCAGAGGTGTCTCGTGAGCGGGGAGTTTTTAACTCACAGAAAAATATTATTTGCTGCCGGCAATATAGGTAAATATCTTGTCTGATTCTATTGTGTAGAAAAGTCTTAGTCCTATCCTATCAGTCTAAAAACACGAGCTGATTCCCTGCTTCTTGAACGACTCGTAGGACAAAAACCAAACAAAAGAGCCTTACAGATACACAATGCGATGATCAAACACAAAACTGTGCCCGCAGGGGTATCGGAGATATCAGGTTCATTCACCCAACGGCAGAAACCTTGCTTTAAATTCTCCAATTCATACAGGAGACGGTCTAAATTAACTACTGCATAATGCACTATGGCTGACTAAAAAGAGGAGTTTAAAGCCGGAAGAAGGTGGGGTCTAACACAGGCCCTTACAACTGCTATGAGAAAACTCAGGCACCTGCCAGGTGCTCTGGGATGTCTCCCTATAGGACATTCATGGGGACAGAGGACAGGAGGAGAAGCCCTGGATACTCAAAGATCACTATCTCCCATCCCCCGATTTCAGACTGTAGGTTCCTGGAGCACTTTTCACTGCGTGTACTACAGCTAACACAGAATCAGGAAGTATCTGCAATGAATCTTGCCAGAATAAGCAAAGTAAATACAAGCTTACATTTAGTAAGTCGTTCTGTAGTGACAAGAAAGGGCTTTCATTTTCTCAAAACCCAAGGCGAAAGGAGCTTAAGCTTGTTAGTAAAGCATTAATCTAATTCTTTATTATTCACTTTGGTAATATAGATTTTCAAGAAATAACTGTAGAATAGAAATAGAAGAGCTGCATGACCTAAAGAGCGGGGACCATGGGTAAATGTACAAATGGACTTTATTCAAGTACTTAAATCGTCATTTTGGCAGATTCTTTGACATTTGATGAATGTTTTCCCATTCTCACTGGTCTATTCTTGTAAAAACCGATGTAACAACTACTGAAATAAAAAAATGGAGGACAATTTAAGCAAGATACAAAATATGCTCTCTTTCTGTAAAAATCATATAGAAAGAAAAGCAGATCTTTTTTCTTTCTTTTTTTCTTTTTCTTTTTTTTTTTT